TGTTTGGTGCAGTTGGAGGATTACTCACTTATTCATTTGGAATATGGACTTTTCTATATGGACGCGGAAAATACAAGCCTTGGGGAATAATGCAACAATACATCCTAAAGACTTCACCCAACTTTCAGAAAGAGTTTTACCTTCTGCCTTATCACCAAGGCTCACCCCTTCTCATCGAAACTTCTGATCATGTATCTTCGTCACCCTCCTCCACGGGCGCGCCGCAAAACCATTATACGAATTTAGATGTCATCTCACTTCCCGGAGACTCCTCATGCTGTACTGGAGATTGCGAGCTAATGAAAAAAATTGATGCACGAGTCAATGAAAAACTTTGTTTCATGGAACAAAACCTTACCCGTCACTATTTATCGGGATTTCAAACAAGAAATATTCAAGTTGTCAAAAATAATTTATCAGAAGATAACAAGTAGGAGCGTCAATTCCATCCACTAAACCTCACCCAGAAATAAAATATAGTAACAACATCTAGATACAGGTCAGAAATCGTATTTCGTATTTGATCCTGTTCACAAAGCATAGACGGGATGAATTATATATTGATGTAGCCTCTGAGAGCGTAGATACTAAAGATGACAACGTATATGAATTTTTAATAGCATTAATGTAACATGTAAATAACAAATGTTTTTAGAAGTCTTGTTAAAAGCAGCTCAATTCCTTTCGGCTCGAACATTTATAAATTGCACGTGATACTTTCTTAAATAAAGAATACAGTTGAATGCTTATAGCAATGATAGACAAAAATACTGTATGTACACTAGCCTAATCAAATTCTTGTTCGGTCGCTTCAATGCTATGAACAATCCTGGTAGGTGGAAAGCTATTATTCAAGATATAATCTGCATTAATCATATCGTTATTCTCTACCCTAAAGATCGCCTCTTCCCTGCTTTCACCTTTAATGAACATGCCACAGAAGTGGTCAGCCGTGCAACAACAACAATGAAGATCATGCAGAAATACATGTATAGTATTATCGTACCGATGTGGCTTTGAATGTGTCTCTTGATAATTCTTTCTTTTGCGATTTCTCGATCGACCTGAATAAACCATAGTTCGTCCATGTGAGACACGATAGAACTCCAAATAGGTGGGTTCCTTAAGTGAAGGTAAAGACCTTCAAAAATTATTATCTTATGACTATTAAAGGTTAAAACTGACAATTGTTCAGTTTATTTAACAACTACATTATTATAAAATGATATTAATATTAATATTAATAACCTGGGTAATACTTTTATATCATCGGAAACAGGATCACCTCGACCATGATCAAACGACGGCGCACCAATGACTGTGTCATTCTTGATTGGAGCTCTGAGCCTTTCAACGAGAATGAGGAAGCCTGTATTAGATGCTTGACGATTAAAACTATATAGTGATGATCATTTGTGCTATTCCTATTCCCCTTTTTTTTTTTTTCTTTGATTGAATGAGAAAAAATTAACCTTGTGCATCAAATGTCCAATGTGCTCCTCGACGAAAGATTGCTTCATCAGGGTCCTTTTACACTAAGAATTTAGATCTCATAAAAAAGTTTTGTAAGTATTCTATATTGATGAGCATACCGAGAAAGTGCGCAACTTTTTTTTGGTATAATGAAATCCATCCATGGGCACAACGATCGCTTTTTTTGTTCCACTCAAATTATTAATACGACTAACAATCCTTTCAGATAAAGTTGACTTTCCTGTAAAATTAAAAGCGTCATTGGAGTAGAAAATTTATTGAAATATATACTGCATATATATTTCGTCTTAATTAATACCCGATCCGGGTATCCCTGCAATTGCAATTAGACATCGAACCTCTGGCGGATGACTAAATTTAATTATTTAATGCACAACGTGTTACTCAAATTAACATGAAAGCTTCGCACTACTATTTCTCTACTGACGATTTCTCCTTTTGCACAAGATAATTCGAGAGTGAATCATAAGTTTTATCCATTCTTTAGGAGAGAACTGCTCCCATGACTCCTCATCTACAATGCTTTATGTGGCTTACACAAATGTAGCACGCATTTCTTTTTATTAGTTAATTGTATCACATGGTTTATCAGGTAAGATACAACACCGTTTTTTTTAAGTTAAACGAAAGTTACATCAAAAAATTCTACTCTTTGAATTATTAATTTAAATCAACAATTACCGCACATGAGCAAATACAGTAGGAATATTAAAATTTATAATTTATAAATTAAAAATTGAAAAAAAATTTTTTTTTTTTTTAATAGTAATGATCGATGTTTCCGAATCACAGTATTTAAACTTGCTAAAACAAAGCCCAAAAGATCGTGTAATTTAAAAATCGTGAAATGAAATGCTAAACAAGAAAAACATAGAAAACAGGGTTGCTTTTTAACTCGATTCAAAATATTTCAAAAATTTGTTTGCGCAATGTCGTATGCTATTTATCTATTTTATCTTATTTTATTATTACAGTAAAATAAAAAATAACTACAATAACTATATAAAATCGACTAATGTTATGTAATATACTGTATATGAGTAAAATAAAAAATGTTTTTTATTAATTCATTACTCTAATATTATTTTATAATTATTTACTTTATTATTATTATTATTATTATTATTATTATTATTATTATTAATTTTATTTTATATTTTATATTTACTCATTTTTTTTATCAATTGACAAATAAATTTTTTACACCTCTTTATTCTCAAGGGAATTCTTTTGTAATTGATACTTTTTCTCAATTTTATCTTATCAAAAATTAATATGTGTAAAATCATAAATCAAGATATTATTTGTTTATTTAAAAAATATTATTATTGTTTTTTTTTTAATAAATGATTCTCAAATTAATTTTTGCATCATTTCATATTTAATTTTTTTTGAAAAGAATTATTATATGAAATTACATGTAATTAAAATTTTTGTTAATTATGGATTTATTTGATTTAAATTTATTATATAAATTGTAAGTTTGAAATAACTTGGCTATACAATATATTCATATGTTTTGAGATAAATGCAAAGTATGATTTCAGCAAATGTTTATTTTCAAGATTTTACAATTCTATTTTTTCTTATTTTGTTTTACAATTCCATTTTTCCATAAAATTTGAATTTTACATGATACACTGATAATAGAACTCAACAAATATTTCAAATGTCAAATATTGAATTGAGATAACAGACCATTGACAATTTTAGAAAATCAAAAAACATATACAGTTTATTTGTGTCACTCTATCTTGTGAAAAAAAGGATCTTTCGAATTAATTACCTAACATTCAATTCCCTTTCTCATTTCATTCTATTGAAGAAAAAAAAACAAAATATCATGAACCCATCTTCATTTAAAAAATACGGAGAATTCGTAGGAAATTAAAAATCAACAATTTGCATTGTGAATATAATGCGAATTTTCATGCAAATCAACAGATTAATTTAAATTGTATGAATTTATATGAATAAAGACTATGTGGTAATGTCATGTTTTATTTCGAATGTGCGAAATATACGAAATGATCTGTACGTTAATTACAGTAATGCTAAATCGTGAACGCTTTAACAAACATTTACATAATATTTTTTGTGTGTATACAATGGTTTAATACTTTTAATATACACATAATTAATTAGAATACGAATCATTTGACGTGAATATCATTTTAAGATCTGTATCGAATAAAAGTCTCGGCCGCGTAACACCGAAGTTGCGTGTGGGGTGATGATAATTTAGGGGTTCTAGGGTCTGTCATCTAAAAAGCTCATTGTTTCACTTCTCGGCTATTAGCCCACGCATCACGTGACTTGGCTTTTTTAATGATGTAAGTGATTGAGGTTCATGCATTACGCGATAGTTTTATCATCCGGTTGCACATATAAGAAAATCAATTATTCAATTCAAAAGAGGATTCAATCAAATTAGAACATAATGCAAATATTGATGATAACAACTTTCCATGTAACACATAACGTCATAATGACATCATGTTTGTAAAGGTAACACCAACAAAAATTACATGGATGGTAATACCATCGTGTAAATTACCACTTAACCGCAAAACCTATGTACGTACGTATAAAACATCAAACATGCATTATTGTGCCATAAAAAAAAAAAATTTTTTTTTTATTAGATAATAAAAATTATGTGTAAAGCTTTCTTTTGTATTGCGCCATTTAGATAATCCCGCACTCCCCGTATGTCCCCGTCTTATTGTCATAGTCGCGATTATTAATATCAGATACTACGTTCATTACAAATATCATAACGATAATAGTAAGTATTTTCTTGGATTCCTCTTTTAGTCTGTTGCAATTTGTCCCCCCTTCTACTTTTTATTATTCAGCTCTCTGTTTTATTTATTCTTCCGAAATTCTTTTCTAGTGATATTGGTTTTCTTTAGAATCTATCATACTTACTGTCCTCGAATTTTTTCCACAAACTTCAATCAATTCTCCGTTCTAGATTCGTAGGGTGCCACCTTGTCGAGAAAATAATTTGTTACTTGCAAAGAACCGAGAATCATCTTTCAACTGTCAAAATATTTGAAGTATCTGTCGTTCTTTCATTTTGAGAACTAGTGTCAGCACAAGAATTGTGACCGATTTGGGAGAAAGAAAAGGTGAAGCACTCGTTGATGATCAAAGGTAATGAGGAATTGTAGATCTTAATTGCGGGTTAACGAAAATGGATGAATCTGTTTCTCAATAATCCTTTTAAAAAGTACTTTCTTCTCAGGATAAATACTCACGCTATCGTGCAAGGGCTATTTATTTATTTTTCTTTCTTTTTTTTATTAAAACTCATCAATAAAAATGAACGTTGTACGTGCGAAACCACATATATTAACTAAAAAAATATTTTTCGATTCTTTTTGTAGCGAAATTTTTATACGACACGGTCGATAGGATTCATTATATATTTTAGTAACAGCTAGCAAACGTGACAAGTTGTTGTTCACGTGATTTTTGAGGAAGGTTTCTGTGAAGTGGACATGAGTGTACTGGATTCCTTCTTTACAACTATTCTTGACAACGCGGCCCCGACTTTGGTGACTGATCTACGTGGTCGCATTGTATATGTCAATAAACCGACTTTGTGCTTACTGGAGGGATATTACGCTCCCAAGAAAACGTCTGCTTACAACGTTAAGGATCTTCCAGAAACGAGTTATTACATTGGAGATCATTACAACAAATTACTCGAACCCTTGGATTCCCATGAGGCCAAATCATTTCAAAATCATTTCACAAGCAATGCTCAGATTAAAAAGGGTACTGAAGTTCGTAGAATTTTCAAATGTCGGACATTTAAAAACAAGAGGCCAATAATATTAGAGCTTTCGACACGTACATGTGTTCTACCAAAGAATATGTCACCAAACAACGTTGTGTCGAACCTACGTCAACCTAAAAGTAGTAACGTATCTGAATGTCGATGTGAACATAGCGCAGATGTTAACAGTGTTAAAGAAAAAAAGGATGATCAAGTAAGCGTTGTTCGTAAAGTGAGTGACGGTGATGAGGAAGGGGATGAAGATGATGGTGACGAACAATTTTATGATGCTTCAGAGGATTCAGAAGAAGATATCAGTGTCTTAAGTAGCCATGTTTACTTCTCTGAGCGACAGGAAACGTATAGGGATCATGTTATTGCCAAGGGGGAAAAGGAACCACATCACAAAGGCATATTGACGGGTAATTCCGGTTCAACGGAATATACTGTTCCTCCACATGCGAACTCTCCGGAAGATCGTCGTTCAAACTTGCACGCGCAGAAAGATCAGGTATTAGTGGTAATGGATCCTTGTTCACCTGCAGATCCAACAAGAAACACAGTTTTCATTAGCACAATTAGAGACGTGACTGATTCAAATTTTGCGGATTTTGTGCTCAGTGAGGCTGACAATCGAATTACCTTAACATACGATGTTACGGGAATAATACATGAAGTGTCAAGATCTTGCAAGCATATTTTAGGTTTTGAACCAAATGAATTGTTGGGACTCGATGGTTATTCTTATATCCATCCTGACGACGCTACCGAGGTTCGCATGTATCATTCAAAACGTGTTTCAGAACCTTATGGTACCACCCTTCAAAGAAATTGCTTTCGTCATCAGAGAAAAGATGGATCTTATTGTTTGTTAGAAATATGGTCACAAGGCATTCAGCCAAATGGTCGATGGACATTTGTAGGCTTCGATGTCACGAACACTACTGAGTGTGTAATGGAAAATCGTGGGTTGATACCTGATCAAGCTATTATTCGTCGCAGGTTATTGCACAATACTGATGAAGATACTCAAAAAAAAGTTGCCAATAATTTCGTTTCCTTTATATGTCACGGTATGACACTCTTTTACTTTCTTCCTGTTCAGCGAAATGATTTTTTTACATTGCGAGGAGGTGGATCATATCTAATTCATTTGAGAATTTTTAGAGCTTCGTAATCCACTAAATGGTATAATTGGTTATACGACATTTTTACTGGACACGGAACTGACAAAACAACAACGTGACTACGCTGAAGCCATATCTTCCATTAGTAATCACATGTGTAATACCATTAATCAATCGCTCGACTTATGTCAGACTCAATCCCATGGTACTTACATTTCGGAAATAGGTCCGTTACATATGAGTGAGGTGGTCAAGTTTTGTTTTCTGACAGTCACAGTGTTGGCTAGGAGTAAGGGAACCGAATTGAGGATGAAGGATAACATCACCCCTTTTCAAAAGTCAAGAGTTCAGGGTGTAGACAAAAATTTTAATGTCACTGAAACTGACTTCGGATGGTATGGTGACGAAGATACCATTAGAAAAATTCTGTTGAACTATCTGACAAATGCAATCAAACACACGGGTTCTGGTTCGGTGACAGTAGTTCTTGATGTTGAAGATGAGAAGTTGCCTGACAATAAGGAAGGGTTTATGGCCAAGTGTTCTGTGGAAGACACTGGTCCAGGTATTCCACAAAAGAATCTCAAACGACTCTTCCTCCCCTATTCGAAGTTGGTTTCGTCTTTCGGCGAGATCAACCAGGATTATGATTTTGTCGATGGAGTACATCGCCATCAGCAGGATCAGCCACAGAGGAGTTCTGGTTTGGGTTTGAGTATATGTAAAGAGTTGGCTGACAAGATGGGTGGAAAAGTTGGTGTGGAAAGCACATTGGGGAACGGCAGCAAATTTTGGTTCACCTTTCCCATATATACTAGCATGCCAGAAGGTTTTGATGATGAAAACGATCCTGAAACTGTTGTTTGTAATGTGTCGGATAACGAATTTGCTGATAAAGAAAAGGCACTTAAAGACTCCTTGTGGAAAAAGGCGTATTCACTTTCTAGTGATGTCGTTAATTCTTGTGAACCTTGTGCCTCTAATGGCGGGCAGAAAAAGTTGTTGAAGAGGAGATCTCCCACCAATGGTAGCATTTCATCAATACGCTCTTTGTCTTCAAATTTGTCATCTTCGTCACGGACAGATCCAGAGCTTTCGGATAATGGTGGTTCTAACAAATCCGGGAGTTTGCGAAAAAACAAAAAGCCTGCAAAAGTGCTAATGGTAGAAGATAATGAAGTAAATCAACAGGTTGCTATAAAGTATTTGGAAAAAATGGGTGAAGAAGTTACTGTTGCTGCTAATGGTGTGGAGGCGTTGGAGAAAATGAAAAAAGAATCCTTCGATATTCTTTTTGTTGACCTTCAAATGCCGCTTATGGTATTTCCTTTTTCTTCTATTGACACTTGAAAAAAATAATGTGGTTGATTCTTGTTAATAAAATTATTAATGTCACCTCCAATAGGATGGATACACATTAACACGCCGGATAAGAGAAGCAGAACGTGAACCTAGTCAATGTGATATATCTCTCATCTCACCTGATGTAAATCCAATTTCCTTACCATGTGATAATACCTCATGTCTTCCTTCATTTTCGATACCAACAATACGTCGATCGCTTACGGTGTCGAGCACATCATCATCATCGTCATCTCAATCATCGTCCCACTCACACTCTACATTACCTTCGCCTACGACTTCTTTTTCTTCATCGAACTCTTCTATCGATAATTCCCAACAAAACTCTGAAATGCCATTCCCCTCAACTTCTCACAAGTATAATCATCGTAAGCATCTACCCATAGTGGCGTGTACGGGTAGCGTCCTAGATAGGGAAAAAGATAAATGCAGGCAATATGGCATGGATGGTTTTTTGACAAAACCGTATCGTTTGGAAGAAATGAGGTTGTGCATCGAAGAGCTGGTGGATGCTAATGACGCATCAAGAGTTGATAAAAATTATGACGATGATCATGTACAAATAAATCATGGAGATAACCACCATTACGAAAAAACCAGCGAGTCTTTACATATTACACCTATATAGAATAAATAAATTATGGATGGTAGGTTCAGTACATTAAGTTAATCTTTATGAAGCATGTTTTGTTGTTTGACCTGTATATTCTCTTTCCGTTAAATTAGATTATTTCGTCGGGATAAGTGAAATATTTAATGAATATTATTTACCCATGTTTATGAAAATAATACCTGTATCTCAAAAAATTATGGTCATAATTTTTCCCCTTTCCCTCAACAAATTCTTGTAAATTTTATTAACAGCGCAAATTTCATAATTTTTACCTTCTCACAAATACATAATGTATCTAAAACCAATTCCTTCATATAACTGCTTGATAAGAATATTAATTACATCTTTTCAAATATAACAAGGATTTTCTTCAATTGACTTGCATTATGCCAGAATATCATTTGTCACCGACAAAATCTCGTGACAAAAAGACGGTGTAAAATTAGGTTGCATTCTTTCGTTGCATTGAAGTAAAATCTGACATACTGCATACGTAGTAATTGTAAATAAATTTATCGTTACTATATTTACTTTTGATTATTTAAATACAAATAATAAAAATTTATGCTATTACAAAAAAAAATTAAATTTTTAGATATGCAATTAGATAAATTAACATGATTTAGATATTTGTTTTTTTTCTGTCATATCTGTTATATTTTTTCTTTTTATTATATTTGTTCTAATATAATAATGCAAAATATAAATATAATATTATGTTATGTTAAAATATAAATAATAAAGAAATTTTATTTGTTAACAGTTAATAAAAAATTTTTACTTAATAATTTTATATATAGTGTGATTGGATAATTTAATTGGTTAAATCAATAGTTTCAAGTTATTTTTGTTTTCAATAAGATTTTGAAAAGAATTGATATAATTTGTAATTGTATATGTTAAATAACTAATTATAGCTTGTGTAGTGCCTTAGCAAATTAATGATAATTAATTTTTAATAAATATATTATTAACTTGTAATTTTTATTTTAAAAAATGAATTCTTGAAAATTAATATTGCTTTTTTACAATTCTTGTGTTTGCATTAAAATATTTTATTATATTGAGTTATTAATTCTTAAAAATAATTGCAATGTAATTGTTTATATATAATTTTATTTTCAAATAAAAATTTAATATATCCTTTAAATTATAAGACATTATTTTTATAACATTTAAAAATTTTTAACTAAAAAGTTACTTCTCCTTTATTTTTTTAAATAATCAAAATATTTTTTAAAAAATCTATATAATATTAGTTTTAATTATATAATATTTATTTTATTATTATTATATTACTATTATTATTTTAAAATGAAAGTATGAATTTTCACAAGATTTTTATTTAATAAGTATCTTATATCAATTTACATTATGGCTTAAGAACTTATACAAGTTAGTATATTATATACTCTATACTGATTATTCTTTACACTCTATCTTATATTTAATGCTTAGGAACCTATCATCTTGAATGATTTCCTTTATGACAACTAGAGAAAACCTATAAGGTGTAGAAATCCTATTACTAGTTTAAACTATATTTTCTTATTACCATAAAAGGTTAAATATGATTTTCAATTACAAAGAATCTTCTCTAAATACATTTTATCTAAATATACATCTCTAAATGTACTCTTTTTTATAGTTTCAAGTTGGATCAATAATATTAAATACACTTTCCATATTCTAACAGTGCAATAAATTTTCAAAAACTTTTATATTAAATTAATTCTCTAAATGCACTTTATATATAATTTGCGAAGTTGGCCAAAATTAATATGACCGGAATTAACATAAAGCTGGGCAAAATTAAGACGATTGACTGGAATTAACATAAAACCAGGTAAAATTAAAATAACTGACCAGAATTAACATAAAGCTAGGCAAAATTAAGATGATTAGCCGAAATTAATATAAAACCGGACAAAATTATGATAACTGACCAGAATTAATATAATGCCAGGCAAAATTATGATAACTAACCGGAATTAATATAATGCCAGGCAAAATTATAATGGTTAATCAAAATTAATATAAAAAAATTTTTTTTCAATATAATATGGTTTTTGTAAAATGTTTGAATTAAATATGTACATATGTTTAAACTATATATGTTTTATTATTACTAAAAAAAACTTTGATTAATAATAATCCAGACAATAACCACAAACCAATCTCACATATATAGCAAATCATCGAATTGTCATGTAGAGTCACAGACAAAATCTTCTTCACTTCAACCCCTACCAACTGGATCAAGGCTGCAACAGAATCTCTAACCTTGTTACATGATCTAATTTGGAAACCATGTTGTTTCACAGCTAACATCTCACCTCTTACTGAAATCAAGTGGAATCATACTAAGTCATATAATTTAATAAACTCCACAAATCCAGAAACCAAAAAAACCTCACAAACCAAAGACAACTCCAATAACTCACAAGACAACACTATTATTGACTTACCTTCTACAGTTGCTAATTCATTTATCCAATCTAAATATAATTACTTCAAATATATTTATAGCTTAACAACTCTATCTGTTAATTTCAACTCTATTTCTCCTAATGCTAAATAGATATTCATAGCTGCTCAGTGCCATTCAGCAAGATATATTGTTTTAAACTTTCTTTTCAATATTAGTCATATGGTTACTGTAGGCAAGCTAGCATTTAACTCATTGTACCAATATATGAGAGATGTTGTTTCTTTTACGATATATACCATACTATATACAAATCAAATAAAAAAATGATGTTTACTTACAAAAAAAAAAAAGTTTGATTAATAATATAATTTCAAATTACTTTTTTTTTTTTTTTTTTTTAAATTGCTAAAGTGAGACAACATCCTAGTCAGGTTTATTTGTAGATAGATCATTACATACAAAGTATATACAATATTAATCTATACTAAACTTATATTTAAACTAGAATTTACCTATGGGCCATTAGGCCGTCTGGATATAGTCTACTACCCAAACATTTTCTTACATCTTCCAGCCACAAGATATAAATCTTTCAGTAAGGATCTTTAACATTAGCAGATTACCTATTGGAGTACTGTGTTTCTGTCTTTTCTCGGTTTTCTTCATAGGGTATTAAGCCTGAAGGATTACCATTTGGAAAGCAGATGGGACTTATGGCCAAGATTTGGTTCAATACCTTTAAACCCAGGATTAACGATCCAATCCCTTTAAATAATGCTGGACTTCAAGCATAAGTTGCTTATTTAAAAGGACGTAACTCCTCTAAAGTTAGGCTAGGTCTTAGGGGGATCTTCCATTCTGGTAAACATTACTAATTTAGTATCTTCACTATAGGTAAGAATGGTGGGTATTGCTTGGTGAGTTGTAACTTATGCTGAAGAGGTGATCGTGTTATAGTCTTACTGTTCAATTTCTCTAATTTGTGGCCCTCTGTAATGTATTTCTTTTATAGTCTCATGGACTATAAGGGAAGGGAAACGGTCTATTGTGAAACTGGAAATCACATCAAACTTGGCAACAATCATCATAACTCCCACCAGACGATTGTTACGCCTCATCATCTTTTCTGAAAATCACAATCTCAATACCTGCTGAATCTGCATGTAAAACGGCTTCATATGAGAAATAGCACTTAACAGGTTATGGTACTAAATACCATATTAATTCTATTCAACTGCCCTTATATGGGTTGAACTAGTATCTTGTGATTTGACCTGTGGAGTGTTAACCACTATACTATAGATCCATAGGTCTATTTCAAATTACTTATTAATTATCATTTAATAATATAAACATAATATAATTTTTAAAAAATGTTTGAATTAAATATGAACATATATATATATTAATCAAGGAGATTAGTTCAAATGTCTCTTTATCTTATTGTCTAGATCTCAAATTATATTCTTACTAGCTTATTGCATTTTTTGTAAAATTGTAATCTTTTTTACTATCTGTGACTAATTATTTTCCAAACTAATTAGACTTTTTACTAAATTGAAATAGTTTAGATTAAAGCTTTAACTATTGTTGAAAAGATGAAATATAGCTTAGTCTATATATCTAAATACAAGGAAAATTTTGATTAAGAAAATTAAATACATATCTCTTGATTTACTATATTATTTAACTACTATATGTAGAACTCTGAAAAGTATCAAACTGGTATCAAACTGGTATTGAAATGGTACCAATTTATAGTAAATTTAATATATGGGTTGTGATCTACTTATATATTTTTATAGTAAATTTAAGTATTGAATTGGTATTGAAGTAATATTGAAGTAGTATCGTTAGGAGCCTTAACTATATGTATGATTCTAATAATTATTATAGTATTACCTAGACAATTATGATGTTATTACATATTTTTTGAAAAATACAATCTTTATACTTATTGAACCAATATATAAAATAACTTTATATAAAAACAATATTTAACAAGTTATGATATCAGATATTATATAAGTTCTATTCAATTGTTTTTATCTGAGATTAAATTAGTATTTTGTAATCTGACCTGTAAAGTGTTAATTACTATACTTATGATTCTAAAAATTAAAATCAAATAAATTTATATAAACATATATAAGATTCAAAACATTATTAAAAATAATGATAGGTTATAATTCATATATTAAATTTAATATAAACTTAAGAATTGAAAAGCAAATTAAATCATTAGAATCCTTAACTGTATTATAGATCTATATGTCAATTATATATTATTTATTAATAATAATTATTTATTTAATTATTTTTTATTTAATTATTTTTTTTTCCTGCTACGAACAAGCATTAAATACAAGACATTTATTAAATATAAGTTTATTGTCATTACATTAAGAATCCTACACCATCTCATTTGGTAAGAGTTAATCCTAGCCTATTGTATGAAAAAACCTTTAATTCATGAGAATATCAAGTAGGTGGTAACAAACTATTGGTGGTCCATAAATGGCTAATGCCTATTCATAAACAGCTAAGTTAAGGCAGGTGGAAATATTTTTTTTAGTAATATAGA